TGGACTCGCCTACGTGAAGTCCGAGCTGCAGAAGAGACACACGTGCACAGACCTGGGTGAACTGCGCAGCTACCTTGGCTTGCAGATCACCCGGGACAGAGCACGCCGCACCATTACCCTGACTCAGTCACACATGGTGCAGCAGGTCCTTCAGCGCTTCGGCTTCACGTACTCCTCGCCTCAGGCCACTCCTCTGTCTACTCGCCACTCGCTCTCAGCTCTGCCTTCGGATGAGTCCGTAGAGTCGAGTGGCCCGTACCCAGAGCTTGTTGGCTGCCTCATGTACCTGATGACCTGCACACGACCTGACCTTGCATACCCTCTTAGCATTCTTGCACGCTATGTTGCTCCTGGGAGACACAGACCAGAGCACATGGCTGCAGCGAAGAGGGTGTTGCGCTACTTGTGCAGTACGTCGGGCATGGGGCTAGTGCTTGGAGGGCGGAGTCCAGTGGTCCTCACTGGGCACGCGGACGCTTCTTGGGCTGACGACCAGGCTACGCAGCGGTCGTCACAGGGTTACACCTTCAGCCTTGGTTCCGGCTCTGTTTCGTGGCGGGCTACTCGCTCGTCTTCTGTTCTTGGCTCGAGTTGTGAGGCTGAGATCTACGCCGGGGCCATGGCTGCACAGGAGCTTCGCTGGCTCACCTACCTGCTGACCGACCTTGGAGAGCCGCCTCGTTCTCCTCCAGTCCTGTACGTAGACAACAAGGCCATGCTGGCCTTGTGTCGAGAGCAGCGACTGGAGCACAGAACAAAGCACATTGCTCTCCGCTACTTCCTTGCTCGTGAGCTACAGCAACGTGGACAGTTGCGGCTTGCGTACGTGGCCTCTGAGGCCAACACTGCTGATGTCTTCACCAAGGCACTTCCGCCTTGTGATCATCAGCGCTTCTGCACTCAGCTGGGTCTTGTGCCCGTCTTGCCTCACTTGCTCTCCTCTTGACCTTGCTTGTACTCTCACATATATATATACCTGCTCTTGCTTGTCTAGCTTTATATATATGTGTGTACTCTTGCATGTGAACTGGCCGTGTGGCCTTGACCCTGTGCTCGGACTGTGTGGTGACTTTGTGATCCACCCTGAGCTTGCTTTGCTTGACTGGTCTTGTGACCCCTTGTTCTCCCCCACTTTGCCTATGGGGGTGTGTCAGAACATTATAGCTTATGCTGTTGAGTAGGCTATAGTGGGGTATCCCATAGGGGGTACAACCAATTAGGGTTTCATATTTGTACTCACTTCATTTTCATAGTTCACTCATTCTCGTTCTCATTATCACAGTACGGTATGCGTCATCCATAAGGATGTGGGTTCGTAAGAATAATGTTGTATAACAAGACCTCAAGCCATGCGTTACTAACCCATCGGTTGCTTGTCTCCCGGCCCATTTTGTTGCTTGTCTCTTGGCCCATCGGGTGCCTGGTGCTCATCTCTTGGCCCATCGGGTGCTCATCTCTTGGCCCATCGGTTAATTGTCTTGAGGCCCATCGGTTGCTCATCTTGTGGCCCATCAGGTGCTCGTCTCATGACCCATCAGTTGCTCGTCTCATGGTCCATCGGCTGCTTGTCCAGTAACCCATCAATTGCTCATCTCTTGGCCCATCGGTTGCTCGTCTCATGGCCCATCAGTTGCTCGTCTCGTGGATGATCGGTTGCTCATCTCGTGGCCCATCAGTTGCTTGTCCATTAGCCCATCAAATGCTCCTCTCTTGGCCCATCGGTTGCTCGTCTCGTGGCTCATCGGTTGCTCGTCTCACAGCCCGTCGGTTGCTCGTCTCATGGCTCGTTGGTTGCTCGTCTTGTGGCCCGTTGGTTGCTCGTCTCGTGGCCCGTCGGCTGCTCGTCTCATGACCGTTGGTTGATCGTCTCTTGGACCGTCGTTGCTCACAGGCCCTCATATTCGTTTGAGGGTACATTGAGGCCTCAGGGCAGTTTGGTAGGAAGTCGAATTTTTGTCCTGATTTGTCAGGGCTGGACTGGGAGAGGTTTGTTGAATCGTCATTACGGAATTTGACGGTAGCCTGGTAGATTAGTGCTACATTACATATATCCAACAGCATCTTGCAAACTTGGCCATGCTTTTCCTGCGTGTTAAGTCAGCGGCACACTCATATTGGTAGTTATTACAGCAATGATGCATTTCCAGGTTGGGCGCGGTCTGGTTTTGCGCGAGCCATGCCACAAAATTCAGGGCGACAATCGCGGAGCGTAACATACGTTGTACCAGGTCGATGGTTGGGATGCACTAGGCCCCGTTGTATGCAGTACTCGCTTCCGAATGAGTCCCGACACTATCCTGACTCATCAGGGCCGGGCCTAAAGCGTTATACTGAATTCTTAGTATGCAAGATGACCACCACACTGAATTTACATCATCCTTTTTTCTTTTTTTTTTCAAGAGAAGCCCACAACACCTATCATGAATCCAGGAAATTCGGGATATATTATCATGATAACCTAGGGCCTGGTTGCTCGTTTCGTGGCCCGTCGGTTGCTTCTTTCGTGGCCCGTCGGTTGCTCGTCTCTCGGCCCATCGGTTGCTCGCCTCTATCTTGGACCGTAGTGTACTAGTGAATAATGGCTGCAAGACGCTCTCTCCTCCCTCATTGTGCAGTGTAGAAGAGTGAGAAGGTAGGATCCAATATATGTCCTTACTACAGCTGCACTCTACCAACCTTACCAAAGTCAGTCGAATGATTGTTTGTGGCTCCAACATCCGTTTACAAGACCATAATTGCTTGTGATTTTTTTTTTTTCTATATCATATCGTACACATAATAGCCAATGATACTACATATCCATATAGATAATGATAAGGGTTTTCCCCATCTTAACAAGTCCGCAGATCCCCCCTCCCTAAGAAGGTGGCCCTCTGGCCAGCATACTTCCCCCTCTGGCGTACCTCTCCTTACCCCTCTGGAAGTGGTTTTGGCATCGAAGCTCGCGGAACTAGGTCCCCTTTCCCCCATGGGGGCGGCTCTCAGGCCAACTTGGGGACCCTCGGTCCCCTTCCCCCCCTGGGGGCGGCTCTCAGGCCAACTTGGGGACCCTCGGTCCCCTTCCCCCCCTGGGGGCGGCTCTCAGGCCAACTTGGGGACCCTCGGTCCCCTTCCCCCCCTGGGGGCGGCTCTCAGGCCAACTTGGGGACCCTCTGTCCCCTTTCCCCCCCTGGGGGCGGCTCTCTGGCCAACTTGGGGACCCTCGGTCCTCTTCCCCCCCTGGAGGCGGCTCTCAGGCCAACTTGGGGACCCTCGGTCCCCTTCCCCCCCTGGGGGCGGCTCTCGGTCCCCTCGTTTCGATGTGCGTGCAGTTGATCCCGTTGTCGTTGCAATTGTTCCGCGTGGCTAGTAGAGTCCGACTTCAATTAACGACTTTCCATCTTGCGCCCGTTTTTCTGCCACCAAGAGAATCGAGAGAGTATCGAGATTGATAGGCAATGAGAGACAAAATCAGAAATGGGAAGAAGAAAAAGAAAATGAAAAGAGCTTGCAACAATTTATATGCAGCTAAACAAATGGTGAGGTGACATGGGGTGCTGCATTGGCGATCGTTGATGGTTGACGCCCAGTCAAACGCCTTAGGCGCGGCAGCAGTAGTTTCTTGACTGCCGTGTCGCTGGCCATTTCGTCCGTGGCGATCTCGCCACGGACGCGTGCCACTGGCGCCAGTGGCGATTTCGCCACACCTGCGCGCCAGTGGCGCAAGTGGCGATTTCGCCACACGCGCGCGCCAGTGGCGCAAGTGGCGATTTCGCTTCACACGCGCGCCAGTGGCGCAAGTGGCGATTTCGCCACACACGAGCACCACTGGCGCAAGTGACGATTTCGCCACAAGCGCACGCCGCTGGCGCACGTGGCGATTTCGTCACTGATGCGCGAGTGGCCGTTGCTTCATGCGCACTTCTTTCTCGGTTGCGCGCACACCAAATGCATCGCGGGCGCGATACTGTAACATCCGCAGTTAACTCGCGTAGTGGCTAATGTGTTACGTTGCTGCTGCAGAGCTTGTCCATGCGTTGTTGCCTCCTTACTTCTAGAGTGAGCATTAAGGACGAGTGAAAACTGAAGTAGTTGGACGAGAATGAAGCGGAACTGAAAGTTCCGAATGAAGACGTGGGTGGAGGCCAAAGGGCCTCCAACCCTCGTTATATACTCGGGAACAAGCATTCGCAGTTCCTTGCTTCACTACAGGGCCCTAGATATCAGACTTTAGAGTCTGAATCAGAGTCCGTTCAGACTTTTTTTTGGTACCTAGTCTGCACTCTAAGAATTTTTTTTGGGGCCCTGTCTGATGTTTCAGAGTTTTTTTAACATACTTGTCTGTAATTTCAGACTATTTTTAGTAGTGTAGGCTGTGCCTCAGACTTGTATCGGGGGTGCATTCTGAATCCGATAATACAGGGGCAGGGTCCAGCCTGGCGGCGTGGAGCAGTAACCCCGTCAATCACGGGCGGGAACCCACGATTTCGCCAGCGCGACAACGCACAGTTGCGTTGGTACAGCGTTGCTGTAATCCCACCCAATTCTGACCAATCGCGGCTGCGCCGCAGGCAGTGTTGGCAAGATTCCTTGCCAACACATAGCTCGCCACGCACTGCACCTTCGCTGTACACCACGACCATCCACCACACCCCGCCTTCAATGTTGCCAACGCATAGCTCGCAGCGCGCTGCCACTCTCACGTCACCACGTCCATCCACCCCACCCCACCTTCCCAGTTGCCAACGCAGGGCTCGCACCGCGCTGCTTCTCTCACGTGACTCCATCCATCAACCCCAATCACCCCACCTTCCAAGGATTCATGCCCAGGTGCAGTGCATGCAATGACCTTCTGGGAGATGGGAGGTCCTATTACACGAGGGTTTCTCATCTTCTTCCTGGTCACCGTTCTTGCAGTCTCTCTCATGGCCCGCTCCATTTGCCTGGACTCAAACTAGTGTAGGAGCCCTTGTTTCAGGCTCCCACCTCCTAGCTCGCTACACCTCTGCTCGGCAGGCTCAATGGCAGCTACAGAGGCTGTCGCGGATGGGCCCGACGACGAGGATGATGCAGTCAGACGCCCAGTATCCGACCCTCTCACCGGTCTAGATTTTCTTAGGTCTGTCCTACCGAAGCACAATCCACCTCCAACGCCACCGTCGCAACCTAGCTCGAGCCGCCCACCTATTCCCAGAGACACCACACCTCTGCACGAGGCCGTCACTGAACCAGCGACCGCTGCGCAACAGGCGGTGCCCCATGAGGCGTCTGTTGGTGCACCTTCTCGTCCCGCGCCACCGTCGAAGCTGCGGTACCGGCAGTCCACCCTTGGTTGGGCCACTCCGCCTCCTCCATCGACCGTTGTGACTCCTGCGAGCGACGATTCTCCCATGCAGGATAGCTCCATGCCCACGCAGGGCAGCCCGAGGCCCACGCAGGACAGCTCAAAGCCCAAATCCGATAATCCTGAGTTGAAATACGAGGAAGCGCATGAGAGATTCAAATCGAAGTGGTCCACCGATTACAGTTGGCTTGCTCTAACTAAGACCTCTTCTGGTGCCCCTTCTTTCAAGTGCGTATTTGCCTGGAGTTTGCGGGATTGAATGGCAAGTGTGGGCGGCGTACCGAGGGAGCTACAGACGTGCAGACACAGTCCTTCAAGAAGCACGAAGGGACGGTGAAGCACCGATTTGCTCTGCAGCGCCAGGAGGACTTGCTGCAGAAGTACGGGCGGCAGCAGCGCATCGACATGCACCCGAAAGCGCAAGACATGGAGCTGCTGCAGGTGTCGTCGCTCGTCGACTCGCTGTACTTCATGGGGAAGTGCAACGAGCCCATGGACTCGTGGATCCGGCTCGTGCGCTACCTGGCGAAGAAGAAAGTGCCCGGGTTTCCCGAGCAGGGATACGGCACATACTATAACACGTACGTAAATTCTTATGTGTGTCCCGTGTGTACAACGTTGTATCCTTGCTGACCGTCACTAACGACCTTGTCTTCCTTCTGTAGGTACGGCTTTGGAGAGCTCACTCAAGCCATTGCGGCATGGCTTCAGACAACGCAACTGGAGCACCTCCTCTCGAGCCCTTTCATCGGGACAACGCTCGATGAGAGCACCGACCGTCGGCGCGGCAAGCACATGATTGTGTTTGCCACGTTTCTCCGCGAAGGCCGAGTTGTCACTGAGTTCGTCGCGCATTTAACGGTTGATAGGGCTGACGCTGCATCTTTGTGCAGTTTGTTGCTTTCCCACCTCAGGGCAGTCGGCGTTGACCTCCGGCGTATCTCGGGAGTGAGCACGGATGGCGCCTCTGTGATGGTGGGGAGTCAAAACGGTGTGGTTGCTCGTCTGCGACTGCTCATCCCCAACCTGGTCTCGTTTCACTGCATCGCTCACAGGTGCGTTTGTGTTTTAACGCCATGTGTAAACGGCAAATCTGTTTGTTTATGAAAAACTAACTGTGCATGTGTGGTTTTGTTTGGCAGGGAGGCCTTGGCTGCCAAGGCCGCAGCGGAGAAGATACCCACCTTCAACATGGTCGACGACGTGATCCGCGCCGTCGCAGAGTACCTCGGGCGATCGGGGCCGTGGCATCAGCGCTTCATGGAGCTCCAGGAGGTGTTCACGTCCACCATCCTCGAGGTTCAAGGCATACACGACGTGCGGTGGCTGTCCAGAGGAGCTGCAGTTGCCCGCTTCGTCCAAGTCCTACCTGCCATCATGGTCATGTTGTCGGAGTGGAAGGACCAGACCATGTACGAACTCGTCACGTCGTACAGGTTCCAGTTCCTCATCAGGTTCCTCGCGGACATGCTGGAGCAGCTCAACGTCCTCTCCTCAGTTTTTCAGAAGCGAGAAGTAAGTGAATTTGAGGGTGTAGATTGTATTGGTTTAAGTCCGAGACCCATTGTACTAATTCTCTTTGTATGTTTGTGATGCAGCTCGACTACGCGCTGGTGCACACGCATATTGTGCGCACCACATCGATCCTGGAGGCTCGGTACGTCGACTGTGGAGACGACTTCGGGGGGGGGCCGACCGAGAGGCTCTACCGCTTCATTGAGAAGCACGGTCCGGGAGGGACACCAGAAATGGTGGTGGAAGGAGCATCGTCCGACGGCAGTATGAACCGCTTCAAGGTGAAGCTTCACGAACGCACCAACCCAAGCTATCGTGGGCCTGGTCATCACCACGCCTGCGTTGCGCTCTGCACCGACATGGCCGAGCTCGTTGTCGAGCAGCTCCAGTCCAAGCTCGGCGACCTTGACTCACTTTCCGGAGTGCGGCTGTTTATTCCAGAGATGTGGCAACCTCACTGGGACCGGGACGCACGGCAGGCACAGTGCCTGGAGTGGCTGATGTCGCTTGTCACGTTGTTTCGTGCAGATGAAGCCGACGAGATACTACCTGGTATGGTTTTGTGTCACCCCGCCCCTTTCCCCCTTTGGCTATGGCTCGTTTACTAAACCCGTGTCTCGTTTTGCCTTGCAGGCATTGACAAGAAGAAAGCCGTGAGGGAGCTGCGCACACTGTGTCCGGTCCTTGCCAGAGCCCCCAAGAGCGAGCGCAAGTTCCACACGGGACTTTGTGCGATGCTCAGGACACCCGACTGGCAGCAGGCGTACCCCAACCTGGTCGGACTGTGGGTGGCGATTGCGGTGCTGCCTCTCAGCACGGTCGAGTGCGAGCGCGGTTTCTCCCGACAGAATCTCATCAAAACGTGGCAGAGGGGCAGCATTAAGGATTGTAGGCTGAGTGATCTGCTCTGTATTTCACTCCTAGACTATGAGCTAGATGTCCCAGGAGTAGTAGAGATATGGCGCAGCTACAAGAAGCGCCGGCCGGTCACAGCACCTGCTGCTAGGCACAGAGAGGAGCCCTCGTGGGCTGGGAAGGAGCCTGTAGATGAGGCAGTAGTAGAACGTGAACCTGTATTAGACTATCAAGAAGAAATGTAAGAAGGTTACTTAGTGTTTTCATTATAACAGGAAAATTGACTGTGACTCTGTGTGTTCAGCGTAGAAATGCAAGTGTAGTCTGAAATCTCAGACTTAAAAAATCAGGTCACTCTGACAGCCAGACTAGGAAGAGCGATGTACTCTGAGGCCTCAGACTACCTCAAAACGAATCTAGGGGCCTGCTTCACTACAGTCAGCTGCGCTTTCACAATCTTTATTTTTAGAAAGTGATTCACACTTAAAAAAAAAAATCATATCTGTGGAAGCCAAAGTCAGTCTGGTACCACCATAGTATTGAAGCTGACAGACAACAATCACACCAGCAAGGGATAAGAACTGGTGAAATTTGTGGTAACGGTACCCTATATTGGCCCTTGGTTTCGCTGCACAGTATTTTTGAATGGATTGCATACAAACTAGCAGAAGCTCCGCAACCACTGGTGCATTCTACAGTAAATGCCTAAGAAAGCTCAAGCATCAACTCCTGCCTGATGCCATTCCCTCCTCCCTGTGTCCTAGCAAATGTTGTAGGAATCTGCTGTGCTGAGGCAATGGTAGGCTGTCTTCTAACATCCCATTGCAAGAATCCCCTTTCTAACATGTCGTGCACATCAGCAGCCGCGGATACCCTTTTCTCCTAGTTCCAACCCACCTCTCATTCCCTGCCAGTAGTCCACCTGTCAACCACACGCCCCCTTCTCTCCCCATGCTGCTACTTCCCTCCGCGGGTCATGTTGGCCATCTGGCCGCGCACAGCCCCCTGGGGGAACGCGGAGGTGGCGATGAGAGCGTGGAAGGAGGCGGGGGCAGCGTGAATGGTGCTCACAGCCGCAGCCACAGAGCCGCCCGCAGCGGCGGAGAGGGACGACGCGTTGCCCCACACGCCCCTGGCGCCGTAGCTGAAGCGCGCAGCCGCAGGGGGGGCAGCAGCGGTGGCATTGGATGCGCGATGGAAGGGGCGGGTGGTGTTGGTCCAGGCGGAGGCGGGGAAGGCGAGCAGCAGCAGGGCAGAGGCGGAGGCGGCGCGGCCTGCGTGGATGGAGGCGGCGGTGGGAGGGGAGGGCGAGGAGAGGTGCGCGAGGGAGAGCGAGTAGTGCACGTCCATGTCAGTGGCCGTCCTGGGGAGAAAGGGGAGGGGAAGGGGGGTGAGGAGAGAAGAGAGAGGGTCAACACAGGAGGGTCAACACAGGAGGAAGGGGAGGGTAAGGCGGAGAAGGAGTTGGTGTGAGGAGAGGAGGAAGGGCCAAACCAGGAGGGCTGAGATGGAGTGTGGACAGCAGAGGAAGGCGTTGCAAGAGCAGAGAGAGGAGGGCTCATAAGCAAGTGAAAGGAGAAGCAGAGCCATGGCGGTGCAAAAGAGAAAGAGGAGAGAAGGAGCGTGGAGCGGCACTGACTTGACAAGCTTCAGCTCCAGGCGGCCCGTGGCATTGGCCATGCCTGCTGACCCCACCATCTGCTCGCCACTCATCCGCGCGCCCACCACACCTGCCATGGGAAAGCAAGCAAGCAAGGCGTCAAGTCCACCGCCTTGCGACACACTGCAGCAATGAATGAACATAACAGAGTCATTGGAAACGCGCCCGCTTCGTCAGCCACAAGTGACCAATAAGACGTCAGCAGCAGTGGTGCGATGATGCGATTCCACTCACCAATCACGCTGCCTCCTCGCCCGCCACGCCAGCCACCAGCACCGCCACCAACCTTGTGCATCCCACCACCACCACCACCACCACCAGCTGCAGCACCCCGCTTCAGCCTCGTGCCATTCACGTGCCCCTTCCCTCCCGCCACACAAGTTCCGTTCGCCGCCATGTGACCATCAAACAACTTGTGCTGCTTCACGCCCATCGTCTGCTGCTGCCCCTGCCGCTTGCTGCCAGCCGCCTGCACTGCCGCCTGCTGCGAGCGGGCAGGTTTCTTTCCAGACGGAGTTGATCCGCTCGCACCGGAGCTGCCCGCCCGCTTGTTGGTTGGAACAGCCTTGTCCCTCGCCTCCCCTGCCTTGGCCCTAGCACCCTTGCCCCTCGCCTCGCCTGTTGTCGCCTACGACCGGGTCTTGCCGGCGGCTTCCGCGAGGACTGAAGGGAAGGGAGGCGGCGAGGGAGGATGAAGGAACAAGACGGGCATGAGCCCGGGTGGGGAGCGAATCAAATCGTTGACTCGAGCCAAGAATCGAGCAGTCAATTCGACAAAGATGCTGCGAGGATTCGCAGAGTTGACGGAACGGACCTCGAGACGATTGACAAGCATGACGAGACGAAAGGGACCCTGGGAAGTGTTATAGTCACAATAGGCTTGAATGTGCCTAAAACGAAAGATAGAGAGCACAGACGGATTTCTGCACAGCGGCTTCAAACGTTGATAGCGTTCTGCTCACAGCTGCAAATGACTTGATTCGAATTGGATCTGGAGCGTCTTCACGTCGTCTACAATTAGCAATTTAGATTGCACGATTTGATAAATAATTGACGACACAGCTTCGGTTTGAACGAACGGTACTATGGCAGCCACTATAGTCTTAGAACACAAGATAGGAAGAGTTACGAGTTGGGAATGACTCCCAGCTCCTACAAACCCCAAGAGCCGAGGTACAGTGATGTGGAACAGTGCCACACTGTCCCTAACCACGAAGGGTCTCGAAACTACCCTTCACTAGGGCCTACACCAAGTGAAATGTTACACTACACAAAGTAATGCAACTATCTTCAATATCTTGAGGTGTACCCTTTTGGCAAGCTTCGAAATCACTTGAGGCTTGACACCAAGGCTCGGGCTCTTCATCACAAACTCATCCTTGAGTTCTTGATGGGTTTGCTGCACACACCTGCGACACGCCGGACGTTCGACACAGGACAAAATAGAAACCGCGCACGACAAAATAGAAACCGCGCGCGAGACACAAACGACCGCGTAACACGGGTCTAGCGATAACTCGCTATTGACTCGACACACACACTCGACATCATGACTCAACATTCACACACAATTATAAGCATGAAATATATATTATCCCATGCCCTCATACCATTCCATACACACACACATTCACGCACACGGACAACAAGCCGAGTGCAAACCGTAGGGTTGCACCAACAGGAAGTAACGAGAGAACGCGACTCACTGGCCGTGGCGACGAGCGCAAGCAGCGCGAGAAGCAGGAAGCGCCGCGTGGAAGCCATGACGCAGCGTGGCGTGAAGTCGATGAACGCGAAAGCTCCAAGGTGAGAGCGGAGGGCAGCAAGCAACCGATTGGAGAGCGGAATATGGGATCGTAGCGTCTCAGATGCTGATTCTAGCCGAAGTCGAAATGTCGACAGAGTATATTCGAGAGCGCCGAAGCACGGTACTCAGGGGGAGCAGTAAAAGCTGTCACTAGCCAGTTCGAGTGATTTACGAGAGAATCCATCACGCCTCTGCTTTTTATAGAAGATTGAATATGGACGAACGTGATTCGGCGCCGAATCGCCTTGCCAGCGATCAATTTCGATACATTCCGTGTCGTGAATTTGAAATGCGGTATGGAAGCCACCGACAGATAAGGAGCCTTAGTCAGTACTACTGACTAGTAATCACTGGCCTTGACGATTGCTGGTATATCACAGATAATACCCGACACAGCTAACTCCCCGTGGAAAACTTATGGCGGGAAGAGGCAAGTGCGCGGGTGGGATGAGGGAATACTGGCTGCGCTGGATGCGGGAAAGCAGGTTTTGACCGGCCCAGGCAGGTGTGTCTTGGGGAGCACGTACGCCTTACGGGAAGTGCTCGTCATAGCGCGATAGAAACTAGGTGAAGACGGAAGTGCTCAAACATGTGAATTTAGGAAACCGGATTTCAACTGCTGCTAGGTAAAATGAAGCTCCACGATGAATTAGAGATACCACTGACCTTTTGAGTACCCTATGTTGTGATAACCCGGGGAACGTGTGGACATGATAAGGGCCTTTGGGTAAGACAGCGGAAGTCTTTGAATGACCTTATCATAGTGAACGTGAATATAAAGAATATTAAAGCATTGCATACGTTTGGTTAATATAAACCTAGCTAGCCATGTGTTCCGAGGGATACATTCACTTATTCCCTTGTCCTGTTTAACGATACCGCCGGTATGACTGTTGCGACTCACTGACTGCAGATGCCTCAGATGCTGCTTCTAAGCCAAGTCGTAATGTAGACAGGGTATGTTCGAGAACGTCGAAGCACGGTACTCATGGGGAGCAGTAAGAATCTTCATTAGCCAGAACAAGTGGAAGGTTAGAAACTTAAACGGGACATACGGTAGTTAAGGATCGGCTCAGGGTTGATTAAAGGTGATATTGCAGCGGAAGTGTTAACCTCAGGTCAGGGTGAATGTAAAATGGCTGAGATTATTCTAATGGGTGCACACTGTTGGAAACAATCGGTCCTAAGCGCCTCTGTCGTGTCGAAACACTAAGACACAAAAGAAACGAAATATAACGAATCACCGGCGAGTCAACCCTCGGAGGTTGAAAGTAACTGTTGGAGGTTACGCGAAAGTCAAAGGTCAGCGACCTTTGACCTGACAAAGTACAGCGCGACAGCAAGGACAAACAACTGACTCGGTATTGAGCAGTTGCCCGAGTCGTCACTGTATCGAACCGCAACAGCAATAGTAAAACGGTCATTAACTGTATTCCTTGTACTCTTATAAAAGCTTGTATCTCTTTGTTTTTAATTAACTTACTTTGCCCTCATATACTAGCGCAAGGTGGTTCACAACTCTTTGATTAACGCTTCCGCTATTACACCAACTCTACCCAGAGTTCACCCCTGCAAAGATCCTAAGGGTTTTTCAACCCAACATGGTATGAGAGCTATCAGGGGGAATTCAACTTCTATACCGACAACATCAACAAGCATGGCTACACAAAAGGAAAGGAGCAACTCCAACGGCTCCCAGGGCACTACTCCTACTCCACCTCCTACCTCTGGCCTACAGACAGAGGAGGGCACAGCAACAAGACCCAGAGCAACATCTACCGAGACTCCCGCGAATCAACCTGCAGACTTCGACCAGAGCATGATGGAGAAGTTTTTCTCCTTCATGTCCTTCTACGAGCAACACCAGCAATCGGCACCTGCGCAGTCACACAACAGCAACAACAACGGAGCAACACCCATGAGTCTCGACGGCTCATCATATGCACGAGGAAATCAACAACAACAGCCTACCTTTGCTCCGTACGAGCGCGGGTCCATCAGCTTTATGCCACACCCACAGCCTTCACCTGGACAAGAAAAACCACTGGACGCATTACAAGTTCAGTCGCAGTTCGCACATGTTCTGAAGATGCAGACGTCAAGACCCTTCGATGGAAAGGACTTCTTCACCTAGTCGTTCGAGTTCGAGCTGATGATGGAAGGCGCGCAGATACTCGGGTTCTTCGACGGGTCTCTGCCATACCCAACAAACGGCACACAGTACGAGAAGCAGCAGTACACCTATCAGTCAATGATGGCGTACACGATCCTACTGAGAAATATCACCCCGACTCAACAGCAGAACATAAGGTCTTACCGAGGTTACGGCAACTCCGCGGAGCTCGCGTACAACCACCTGAAGAGCCTGTATCAAGCAACAGACAGCGTAAGCCAAAGTCGGTTAATGGCGCAACTGACAACGGTTGAAATGAAACCAGGGGAGAAAGGAATGGCGTATATCAGTCGATGTCGCGAGTTGCGCGACAAGCTTCTTCGATGCGGAGGGTCGATCTCTGAAGACGCCTTCGTGACAGTCATCATCGGCGGCCTCGGTCCTCAATGGCGCGCCACAAAGGCCATTCTCCGAGCTCACGGAAGAATCTCCGAAGCAGCGCTCTGCGCCGAAATCCACGCCGAGCAGCAAGACATGGACCTGCAAGAAGAACGACACAAAAAGAAGACATCAGCACCGGAATTCGCGTTCCACACTCAGCGACGCTACAACAACAACAACAACCGGCAGCAACAACCGAAGCCAGTACCTCCGTTCTGCCACATCTGCAAAACTTCAGGACACCCGCGTACACACTGCCCAAATCGTCAACAGTCAACAACTCCACAGCGGCAACTTCGACCTTCAAGCAGCCAAATCGCCTCAACGCAAGCAAATCTCACGACCCAGATTCAAGCCTCAACGACTTCATCGGGACAACCTGCACAAGGAGCAAGAAACATCGTCAGCTGCATGGCAAAGCTGAGTGACTCCTGCATCACTGAGTCACCACCACACTACTCACTGGAAGAACAACTCGACGAAACCACACCCCGCCGCGAGTCACTTCAGCCGAACCCGACATACGCCGCCATCGCCCAAAGCGAACCATCCGGAAAAGACACATGGTTCTTGGACAGTTGCTGCGGACAGCACATGTGCTCCTCGGGACGCTTCGTTCAACGAGAACACCAACTTCAACGCGAAGTTGTCATTACAGTCGCCAACAATCAGAACATGCGAACACGACGACAAGGCGTAGTTCAACTTCAGTCAAGGGAAACAAACGTTATACTGCAGATGTCAAAAGTACTAATCGCGGAGGGACTCGTCTACAACTTATTAAGCGTCAGTCAGCTAATGGCGAAAGGGATTCACCTCGAAGCAGACAACACCACCCAAGAATTCAAGCTGTATCATGGGAGAGGAGGACTTTACATCGGCAAGGCGGTCCTCAAGAACAACGTCTTCGTTCTTGATTTCGTTCCTGATCTTGGCACCGCCGACAGCGACGCCATCGTTAACTTCACCAACTGGACACACCCTCCAGACCTTGATCCAGACTTCAGTCCAGAAGGCTTCTGGTACTCACACACCA